GAATATAAACGCCCAAAAGGTTTTCAACATTTACACTCATAAAGATACCAGATTTCTAAATACAAGCTTAATTGTTAAAAGGCTTTCAGGTAAGATCTCGTTGCATTTATCCCCCAAAATAAAACATATAAAGAATAATACAAGGCACTAGCATAATTTGTTATATGGAGAAGATTAAAACATAATTTTTCTCCTCCTCCTTTCTTTTTAAAAATTTATTTTATTTTTTAAGATAGGGCCTGCCATACAGCCCGGGCTGGCCTGGAGCTCACTATGCACACTAGGGCTGGCTGCTCACTGGGGACCTTCCTCCTGCCTTAGACTCTGCAGTGCTGGGTGGGATTACAAGTGTGCACAACCACGTCTGGCTGAAAATGGTCAGCATGAGAGGAAGACATTCCATAAAATATGTTCTTTATTAAAATAGCATTCTAAAACAAAAGCCTCTATTCATTAATAACATTTAATATAACCTACACATTTTTTTTGAAAGATTATTTCTGTGTATGAATGTTTTGCCTTCAGGTGTGTATGGTGTTTCCATGAGTGTCTGAACTGGAGTTACAGGCGGTTGTGCTTAATAGCAGAATGGGCACAAGAACAAAGTTCCTCTTGTGTGTAGATGTCTCAGAAGCAGAGGGGAGACATGGCAGATATTTCATAAAGATAGCAGCCAAAGGATTAAAAGCATGGATTCATGGACCTACAAATCTAATGCTCTCTTCTGACCTCCGCAGACAACAGGCACATTCATGGCACACCTACACACATGTAAGAAAAGCACTCATATACACTAATAAAAAAATGAATAAATTAAAACAAAGAATAGCTGGGTGGTGATGCTGTATGCCTTTAATCCCAGCACTCGGGAGGCAGAGGCAGGTGGATCTCTGAGTTCGAGACCAGCCTGGTCTACAAGAGCTAGTTCCAGAACAGGAACCAAAGCTACAGAGAAACCCTGTCTCGAAAAACCAAAAAAAAAAAAAAAAGAAAAAAGGAAAAGAAAACAAAGAATGTAACATAAAATGCAAAGGCTATAAAGAAAAGACAAATTAGATTACATTAAGAGAACATTTTATAGTTAAACAAAGTAAATACTGCTTTGCCAAAGGAGGTTATCTTTGGTGATCTGGGGCCCTCAGAATTTTTTTTTGTTGTTGTTGTTGTTGCTACAAGAAACAAGACTCTGGCAAGATGACTCTGTAGGTACATAATAAATAAATAACTAATTTTAGAAAGGCAAGAGCAGGCTGGGCACTAGTACTAACAGACACCGAGTCTCTACTACTGGCTTATCTATGACAAGTCCCGCTGAGCAGTGGACAAGGGAAGACATTCTTTTAAAGAGCTAGGAATACTTTTTAAGACATGCGTGCTTCACCCTAAAGTCTCAGGACCCTTGGCAACTGAGGAAGAAAAGTCACTGTGAATTTGAAGCTGGTCTGGGCAATACAGTCACCTCCCAAAAAATGAAATAAAATAAAATGCAAACAGCTATTTAATACTTCTCTGTAAAAATTCTAATTGGTTCAAATACTTAGTGAATTATCTTATTCACTATGGTTAAAATATATTTGTATTGCTAGTCACACATCTCATTTTATTATGAACTACTTTAATTTCTTGAAACAACACAAATATAAGTCAGAAAACCCAAATCCAAAACTTGTTTTTTAAATGCAGCTGAAGTGACAAAGGTGGCTGATATAAAATGTCTGTCTGCTTATGATTAACTGACTAAATAAAAATATCAGAATTCCGTTTTAAATATTTGTGAAGAGTCATCTTCATATTGACCTAAAATACTGAAAACGCACCAAACGCCCAATAACAGAAGACTATCTCCTACGGCATGAAACGGACATGACGCAGCCGGCAATGTAAGCGTGCAGCTGCAAAGCCAGCGCCAGCAAACACAGACCGCTTCTCTAGCATGTCAAAGTGTAACTTGAGCCACATGAAATATTCACGGCAGAGCAAGAGTCAGAGAAAAATGGGATGGCTGTAGGTTATGTGATGATGTGCAATGCAAACTTTCTATTTTTTATTTCTTGTAAATTTCCTACAATGGGAACAATTATCTTTATAATTAAAAACTATTTAAAAACAATGATCAATAAAAGTACAATAAAACTAGAAAAGTAACCTATATTTCTAATACATTCTGAAGTGTTAACGTATGCAGGCCTCAATTAGACTAAGATAATATAATCCCACAGAAAATATAAGAAAATCCAAATCAACCCTCCAAGACCACCAATGAAAACCACACAGCATCCACGTACAGTTGATTTCCGAAGCTGTGCGCTCGGCTCTGGAATTCCTGTTCGTAGATCTAATGGTGTGACGAATGACTGCATGGGGCTGTGAATGTAAGCACAACACGTTAAAAATTTTAGCAACAAATAAAAGGTTAAATTTTTCTTTTTTAAACGATTGCTTGCTGACAAATATGATTATCTACTAAAACATTTCTTCTAAGAAAACCAATAAAAGTACAATGAACACTCAGATGTCTTAAACGCTTGTTCGTTTATTCCATGTTTACACTGTGAAAACACCAAGGGATTCAGTCAGACACACCTTGACCTCAAAGAGTTTAGTCTTGGACAAAGGACATAGACATGTACAAAATTAGTCAATGGTCAGTGTCATTTAGTTAAAAAAAAATTCCTGTTAAAACCTGGACAAGGGATCTCCACACGCTCTGCTGGGGCCTGAAGTCCAGCAGGCATTGGCTGTACAGTATGTGGAGATGCAGCAGGCACAGACTATGACCACGTGATGTGAGAATGTGACACCTGCAGGAAGTGGGGCTTGGTAACAACTTGAGGGTGCTGAAATCAAGAAAGATGAGGGAACTGTGTGGACACAAAACTCCAAATGTCAGATGATGGCTCTCAGTTTTTATTTTTGAGCAGAAAGAAGGTAGTAAGTACCTTTACCCAATCAGACAGCTTGCCAGCTCAAAGCTTTACTAATCTTAAGTCTGCAAATAATGATCTAAATATGTGTATGTGGGGTTGGAGAGATGGCTCAGTGGTTAAGAGCATTGCCTGCTCTTCCAAAGGTCCTGAGTTCGAGTCCCGGCAACCACATGGTGGCTCACAACCATCTGTAATGGGGTCTGGTGCCCTCTTCTGGCCTGCAGGCATACACACAGACAGAATATTATGTACATAATAAATAAATAAAGTCTTTAAAAAAAAGGCTTGATTTTAAAAAAATAAATAAATGCGTGTATGTGTAGGGAATCTATGTATGGCTGGTTTATTTAATGTTTGCAATTCAAGACAATTTAACATCAAATAAAAATACAGAATTGGATTGTAATTTATGTGAAGCACTGAGAGAACAAATGTTATCTTTTAAAGATTCTATAAGGATTACATTTGTTAAGCACTTCAATGGAAACAATGGTGCCACCAATGAGTAGCAAGTCCCCCATTCCTGATTTACATGTTGCACTACTATACATGGTAAACTCAAAATAATCCAACAATATTTTCAGAAGGCATGCACAATAATAGGATACTTACATGTAATTATATAAGAAACTACTGATAAAAAATAATGGAAAGAGTTTCCTTTTCCTACTGAGGATTTCAACTTACTCCTTTAAAATTATCTGTATTTTCTTAATATACGTAAGTAGAAAAGTTAAAAAATGACTGCCTGAATATCTGCGGAGTCTTTATGAAAAATTTGAGCATATGTGTTGTGCCTAAACCTTTTCATTATGTTCTAAAGGAGCATTCTTAAAGTCATTATTTCCTAGGAAACAGGAGGGCCACATGTCACTACAGGGGCTGAGCTCTGGAGAGGCATGTTTTTTGTATATTTGCATTCATTCAGCTAAATTATAAAGCTTCTTAGGTTATACTCATTCATTTCTCATACAAAGGTATTTTACATATACATGTAAAGCACATTACAAATTTGCATAATAAATTAAGAAAAGCAACCAATTTTAGATGATAGTATTTTGGAGAATTTTCTAAGGCTGAGGTCATCAAACTGTAGTCTCAGGGCAAAATCTGGTGCACTGCCTACTTTGGTAAATAAGTCTTCCTGGGTGTTAAGACTATACCACGTATGTACTGTCTAGGTTACAGAGGCAGAAATGAAGAATTGTGACCAATCTGACGGAAACTGTGCAGTCCACAAAGGTAGAAATACTTAGCATTTGATCCCTTATAGAAAGTTTGCTGATCCTTGCTCAACAGATTAACATTTTTACAACATATGCTTTCCTTTAGGGACCAGTCTCATTCCTACATGACTGAGTAACCCTCTGTGACCCAATGACTTACGGTCAGAAGCCTTTCAGCAGTTGGTCTTTTCTTAGGGTTCTTAGCGCTATTTTGACAAAATTATGGAATGTCGATGACCTTCAAATAAAGAGAGAGCATAAAAATATTTCACTATTTTACTAGTATGAGTTTTCTGCTGTTACTATATAAAGCTAACAAAGGAACAGTTAGAAAGTGAGAAACAGCGTTTCCCTCCTCAGACCTCTTAATTCTATACAGGTTAAAAAACTAAACACATAACACAGCATGCTCCTTGGACACAAGTGTAGCCATTTTGTCTTTTAAGTAATATGCAGTTGAACAGCAATAGTATTAGACAAGGTCCAAACATCACACTACAGATCAGAAGTGGGCAGATGCATGAAGAACTTAATCATTCCAGGTGCTGTTAAAAGCCTATGTCCTTTTCTTATTGCCTAATTTATGGAGCATTAAAATATTTTTTCTATGCTAAAGATTACATGGAGGGTAGAGAGACTATTATGAGACAATTTAAGTTCTAAAAGAATTTTTGAAATTCATAAGGAAAGGGCAAAGAAAAATGAAAGGATCCCCTGCTATCTGCATTGCTAGTGACAAACAGGTTTCTTTCTGCCACTGTTAAGATTCCCCTAGGGGAGGATGGCTAAAGAACCAGGGAAGTTGCCATAGTAACCAGCAAAGACAAGACACAGCTCATCTCAACAGCAATGCAATCACTGCTTTGCCCAGGGCGGTTTGTGAGAGCCACTCAAGAACACAGTCTGAGGGACTGTGGGGGACCTCTAATGCTAGCCACTTCTCTGGAATTCGACCACGAATTCCATGCTGATGCATACTATTTGCTGTTCCTGGATTATTAAGGCATTCTTGTCACAAAGCCTTCCAGTTCAATGACTAGAGCACCAAGTACTAGAAACCCTTTCACTCCTGCCTTCACCTAGGATGCTCCTGACTACAACTGCACCCACATAGGTTATGACACATAACTCAGGTCAGAGTCTACCGGGGGAGGGGAGACTAGAGTCTGAAATCTCACAATACAGACTGTCTCATCAGAAAAATAAATGGACATGTACATTTGGAGGCTCACAGGCCTTCTAGACATCCACATACCTATACAAGAACTATGTGCGTGATATTAGACATTTTTATTTGCTGGTTTATTTTATATGCTTATCAATTCTATCACCAAAATTTTCAATTTTTACCATCTAATACGATAGTTGTAAAAGGAAGAGGAGATGGAGAAATAGCTCAGTGTTAAGAAACACTGGTTACTTTTGCCAAAAACCTTAGTTCAGGGTTTCTAGCACACACATGGTGGCTCACAAACACCCATAACTCCAGCTCCAGGGGATTTGATCCTTTTAGGCCTCTGTGGGCACACATGTGGTGAACATACATATATACAGGCAAAATACCCAAACATAATAAAAATAACTCTAAAAATAAAAAATAAGCAAAACTCACTATTTAAAAATCTCAACTTCCTATTCTGAATACCCGTTGCTTTAGTCAGTGCTGGTGAAATCGTAAGACTACTAAACACCTTGTGCGGGTCAAAGAAAAGTTCCCAAAGGAGGTGGGACTTGGAGAATGAGCTACGAGGAAGCAGAGGTGAGGAGTCTGCACATTCCCAAGGAAACTTGGCAAATGCAGGAAGATATGGAGGGCAAGCAACGACTGGAAAACAGAGGGGACAGCAGATGCCCTGTGACTCTTACCTTGAGAAGGGTCATACATGGCTTGTCACTGTTGGGACTTGGGGCACATATGGTCTAAACACATCACTAATCTTTATTTTACAAAAGTATAACTCTGATCTGAATGGAAAAAAAAAAAAACCTCACAACTGAGGGCTTAGAGAAGCGGTTCTCAGCCTTCCAAACGTAGTGACCCTTTAATACAGTTCCTCATGCTGTGACAACCCCAAACTGTACAATTATTTTTGCTGCTGTGTCAGAACTGTAATTTACTATTGTTATGAATTACAATGTAAATATCCGATATGCAGGATATCTGATGTGTAACTCTAAAGGGTGCTGAGACCGAGAGGCTGAGAACCATTGGCTTAGAAGGTCTGGAAGCTAGGGGCTACAAGTGAGCAACCTACTTCTATATAGGAATTTACTTGTGAAAATGATGTGGACCCACTGACTTAATTATGGAAGCAACAATATAAAAGTCACACCAACACAAAACCCAGCGTGAGAAATGGTGAAATCAGGAATGCGGAGGAGCTTTGGGATGGCTGGAAAATTCAGGGTATGGTAGCAGACACATGTAACTACAGGCCCTGGGAGGCTGAAACAGGAGTTATCTTGAGATGGGGCAGCCTCAGCTACACAAAGGATCATTTCTCAATATCCACCCCCACACACAAAGAAATATCTCAAATAGCATCCAAGGTCATAAGGGGGAGGTGACACTGCCCAGGAGAAACATTCTCTTTTTATTTTCATTTTCAAATTTATTAATTTATAGTTATATTGAATATCCACAAGTTACTATTCTTTTCAGTGCATAAAACATTACAATCTACCTTTGTTGAGATGCATATGATACCTCAACTTAAATGTGGAATACAGTACATGTGTTCTAAAATGAGGACATAAATATTTACACTCAACTCTCTTCACTTTCTCGCTGTGCCGGAGACTGAACCAGGGCCTGAGTGGTCACTAAGAGCTCTGCTGCAGAGCTACACAACCAGCCATTTGAAATGCGAACATTAGAGACACTAACACAGAAATGTGTTACTGTATGCAAGAGCTACAGACACTGTCGTGGGCACAGGACAAAGGAGAACAAAAGAATACCACTGAGTCAGATGACTAAAGGCCAGTTTGAGTCTCAGAAGGGACAGAGTTGGGGCCTGGAAACAGCAAATACATTTCAATTCCTCCACCCGCAGGAGTGAAACTGTGTAGCTCACTGGAACAGCAGCCTGGTGTGGGATTCCCCTCTGTATGCTGTAAATATGCTTTATTACCATTGGTTAAAAAAGAAGCTGCTTTGGGCCCACGACAGCACAGAATAGGGCATGGCAGGAATTCCAAGCAGAGATAGAGGAGGAAAGAAGGTGGAGTTAGGGAGACATTATGTAGCCCCCGGAGGAGAAAGATGCAAGCCACGAGCCGGAACCTTACCAGTGGAGTCTTGTGGTAAAATATGAAATGATAGATATGGGTTAATTTAAGATGTAAAAGCTAGCTAGAAATATGTTTAGGCTATTGGCCAAACGATGTTACAACTAATATAGTTTCTGTGTGATTATTTTGGGTCTGGGTAGCTGGGATCAAACAAGCAGTCTCCGACTACATCAGCCTGACTGACTGTCCTGCTTCCTAACTCAGGAGGTCAGGGTGTCATACTAAAGCTTACATTACCTGCAAATTCACAGTAATCCTCTTGCCTCAGCCTCCCTAATGCTGAGATTACAGGCATGGTCCACATGCCAAGGCTCACACTAACATTTACTGTGAGGTCTTCTGCTAACCTCAACTATTTGTCAACAAGGAAGGCAGTGTTTCAGAGAGATGACTGCGGTAGTCACAGGTAGGATACTCGTTCATGTGGAGCTGCTGGACACTAGTGTAGGATGTGTGGGTTTTAGTCCTTGACTAAACAGAAAATTGGAAAGGTACTAGAAGTCTTTCTTTTGAAAACTCCACTCTGTGTAGGCCTTTGCCATGGGGAGAGCTGGATGCTGTAAGAACCTAAGCCCCTAACACAATCAATGTTAGGAAAGCATCGTGCAGCATGCAAGGCTCTTGGCCTTTGATGGTTGTTTGTAGTACCAAGGATTAAGGCTGAGCACAAACTAAAGAAACGAAACTAAGACAGTCACAGCAGTCTCACCAGTAAGGGGTGCCGATGAAAGACTTTCTCTTCACAACGGTCGCGGTTATTTTTGCAGCCACACCGAAATCAGCTGCAAGGGAAAAGACACAGCAGAAAACTGGGTAGGGCCTTTTTTTAAATTTTTTTTTTAAAATACAACCAGCATTTCATATTGGCACAGTCATCAATATTTTACGTATTAATGTGTATAAATTTAGTACCAGATCAGTTCATAACATACTCGATTTAAAAGAAAATTTGCCAAAATTTTACTAGAATTTAAACTATACTTTATTACATTATTTTAATTACAAGTACACTGAAATTAACTTGGGGAAAAAGTGACAAAACTGAAAACACGAGAAAACATACAAAACATACACCTGAATTCCTTTCATCCTAAAACAGTAGAAGGTTATTAATTTGTTGGTACTTTTTAGAATTTTTTCTATGTATATAAAATTTTATAGTTGTTACTAAACATGGTAATAAAAATTAAATACATTATTTAGTTCATTTTTGCCATTTAATAAATCAGATTTGCTCAGATTTCCATTAATATTAATGACATGATGAAAAATATTTCACGGGCTTACATTTTTCTACCATAAGTAATATGATTAATAGCTTTATGAATATGGTTTTTTTATGTATAAGATTAATTTCCTTGAGTAGAATTTTACTCCTTCAGGAATAAAATCAGTATATCACAGGGAGTGATCATTATGATTATATATATAAAAATTAAACCTATTCAAACTTAAATATCATTTAATATTTTTGGTAAAAAATTTAAGAATTCAAAATAACATACCTAATTTTACATCACCATGGTCTGTTAATAAGATATTTGCACCCTAAAACAAAAGCACAAATACTATTAAACTAGCATCATAAAATTTCTTTCAAAGCTCAGCAATGTAAATATATTAGATGAACTTACTTTGATATCTCTATGCATTTTGCCTTTAGTATGCAAATAGGCAAGACCCTGAAGGTAAAAAAGAATATGCGTTAGCAAGACAGTATCAAATGTCGACCTCAATTATGGAATAAGAAAAACCAGACAGCCTTTTCCAGGGGTAAGGGGTTCTTTTAACTAGTTAACAGGATTGTAATGTAACTCACTTTCCGGTAAAATTGGAAATGTTTTACCAAAGCAGCAATGTCACAATTAAGACAAAGAACATGCGGTCACGCCCCAAAGAGTTCTCCTGTTGTGCTCTTTGTAACTTCTCATCCCATCAGCACTGCTTGTCTCTACACCATTCTTCCTGCTTTGCCTTTCCACAGGGATTCCAGAATCAGCGCGCCAATTTCACTGTTGCTCCCACGTCCCCAGACAGACAGGTCAGCATGTAAGCTAGACTGGCCTCAAACTCAGGATTTTCCTGCACCAGGATCCTCGCTGAGATCACAGGCATGGGCCACCATGCCTGACAGGCTTGCTCATTTCTTTAACAACAAAAAAGGGTTCAACTGGAATTGGGGTTCTGCCTGGGGAGAACTGATACCTTCTGAGCATTAAGCTCCTATCCCATGGGACAGCACAGTTATCTGCTCAGTTAGGCCTTTAATTCTCTCAGCTATTGTGTGGTTTTAGTACACAGTGTTTATGTTCTTCTGCTGTATTTATCCATGAGAATGTCATATCCCTTACGCCACTGTACGTAGTTTCCTCATTAAACTTTAATTCCTAATTCTGAAATCCACTTGACTTTTGAAAAGCCACCAGAAGCGTGCCAGTGTTGGTTCAGCTAACTTGTCGGCTCTAGTGGCCCCCTGTAGCCTCCCTCAATGGAAATGATTATGCAGCCTTGGGAATGAAGAGCTCTGCTTGCTATTTTCAAAACTAGATTCCTTTTTATTTCATTCCTGTTTCTTTTCACACTATGAGAAGCCTGGACTACAACGCTGGAGTGGACATCTCTGTCTTGTTCTATCAGGAGAAAGGAAGACCTGACCACAGCATTTTCATAGAGACTCTGCACTGAGTTAACCAAATTCCTTTCAAATGTGCCATGCCTGGATGTTTACATTTTATTTTTTTAAGTCAATTTCCAAAGCAGCCGTTTTCCTTCCAGTTTTTCCTACATTTTGAGTGTTGGCTGGGCCGCTCCTCCTCTCTCTCTTTCCTCAGTTTCCTACCACATTCTAAAGCGCCCCCCCCCACCCCCTCCCCGCTATTCCATTTTACCTTCATATATACAATGTTCTCCTCCCCTGCCTCCAAAGCCCTTCACTCTCAGGGCTCCTTCCCAGTTTCCTGGTCTCTTTAGAGGCCATACCCACATAAACACATATATAAAGACCAGAAGCTAGGGCCCACATACAAAAGAGAAACATGCAGTATTTGTCTTTCTGTATGCTCAGAAAGTTATTTGGAATAAGCGCTGGATCTCATTAAATGTTCCTGCTGACCATGCAGCTTTCTCTAGTTTATTCAGGGTCATTTACTGTAAATGAACACTACTTTCTAGGACCGTCCACTTTTTATATAATATCTGCTTTTACATCTTGTTGGATTACCTTGGGAACTTATTTAAATGGCTTTTGTGTATGTTGTTGTATGTTTTATGGCATAACTGCCTTTAAGTGATTTGTGGAATTTCAAATCTTGTATCTGTCCACCTTCCCGTTCTTTTTTTAAATGATTTATTTTTATTTTATGTGCATTTGTGTTTTGCCTGCATGTATGTTTGTGTGAGGGTACCAAATGACTTGGAGCTGGAGTCTAGACAGTTCTGAGCTACCATGTGGATGCTGGAGGGGCTCTTAAAGAGCAACAGTGCTCTTAACCACTGAGCTATCTCTCTAGCCCCTGCCTTCCAACTCTTGATCCACATGAAACTATCATCACTTATTTTACTTAGACATGATATAGCTGTTATAATACAATAATTAGCTCTGTTGTAAAATCTTTTAAATATAAACTATTTTTTTACATTTTTAAAAATATATTTATCTACATGGTTACCATGGATAACAACATAGTAGTCACTTCTTTGACCACAAATATATTTTAATTTTGTACAGAGAATTTTCCTACATTCTAAATGGATATCTTAAAGGAGATGAACAACATGATCACTAATTTTCCTTATGTGGTAGCAACCCGTGCCACTGAAGTCCACTACCACAGATGACCATCAGTATCAAAAAATAAAATAAAATAAATGTGATCATTGAGCTTCTCAATGGGTGTTTGAATAAATTCTTGTACATCATTCATGGAAAAGTTAGTAGCTTTACAAAATTAAAACAAGGAAACTGGATTGGGATATTATTATTACTATTTTAGCTCTTTAGATTTTGGGCAAACCACCATTCACAATTATTAAGTATGAAACTGCTGCCTTTCTAAAAAGCTACTTAAGCAAATACATTACCTGCAACGTCTCTCTGCATACATAAGCTATTTGCAATTCAGAGAATGGTCCAGTAACTGGAAAGAAAGAACAAAAAAAACTCATTGTCACTGGATGCTAATGTTAAACAGTCTAGCTGCAAAACAATGAAGCAGCATACAACTACTGCTTGCGTCACTGAACTAGGACAGCTGATGGTTTGTTCTAGCCCCATCTGTAGTAAGGAGCTTGTTCATTTCTCAGCCGCCCAGACTCCAAAAATAATCACACAGTAACTATATTAATTATATCAATGACTGGCCCATTAGCTCTAACTTATTGGCTAACTCTTACATATTAGTTTAACTCATTTCTATTAGTCTGTGTATTGCCATGTGGCTGTAGCTTGCCAGATAAAATTCAGTATAGCATCTGTCTCTAGTGGCGGCTCCATGGCTTCTTTCTGACTCCACCTCCTTTCTCCCAGCATTCAGCTTAGTTTTCCCCATCTAACTAAGTTCTACCTTGCTATGGGCCAGGTCAGTTTCTTTATTCATCAACTAATAAAAGCAACACATAGACAGAAGGACCTCCCATACCATTTCCCCTTTACTGTTTAAACAAAAAGGAAGGCTTTAATTTTAACATAGTAAAATTACATATAACAAAACAGGTATCAACCAAGAATTACAGTTACAATATTTATATCTACTTTATCTTCTATCATAACTAAGGAAAACTATTAACTACTCATTCTTCAATCCCATCAAAGTCTCCAGAAGAATATAGTATCACCTAAGTAAAAACGAAGTACATTGTAAACAACTTCCAAAACTCTAGAAATGACAGAGACATCTCGCTGCCTGGACAGTCACCCAAAGTTCTTCTGTACCATTGGGGCATCCATCTTCAGCTTACAGGCTCATAGTGTCTGACAGACTTTTCCATGAAGCAGGAAATTTCAAACTCCCTATACTGGAAGTTTGTCAGTTACTTTCTTCTGTGTCCTACAGAATGTCTAGCAGTTTCTTTCATGAAGCAGGAACCCCGAAGGACTGTTCCACCTTTAGGCAAGTTTAGCAGTCATTTTTCTGTGGGTTCTGCATGTCCAATTAGCACAGCATACCATCAAGGAGTCCAGGCAAGAGCAGTTTCCTGCCCAAATGGCTAGCAAACTCCATCAGGAGCTTCTCTCTGATGGCCATCTTCCTCTTGAAGTAACTGGTGCTGCCAGGAGCATATGTGTCTCACTGTCAGGAAGTCTTAACCTCTTAAAACATTTTAAATGCCATATTCTGTAGTCTTTGAAAGGTTTGAAGAATGCCTATCTATCTGATACACATCTCCATATATCTAGAAAATCTAACATGACCACAAGCTTGACTATTATAGATGATTATCTATTAACCTGCATTTTTAATTATATATTAAAATTTTAAATGGGGTGCACAAACACAATGCCTTAATCAAGAGCAGAAACACATATACACAGTATAACAAAATTGACTTAAATCTGTATCAATATACCAAGATCCATACCAATGCAAAGTATCCATATCTATAACATATCCCCCTTTAAATGTAAACAAACATTTATAAACAATATTTGGGAATATGGGCATAGTTCTCTTCATACAGCTTCCTGTTTTTGTTGACCAAAATAATTTTTGGGGAGTGTTCACAGCAACCTTTCAGGAGGTCTTGGTCCATCAAACTACACTAGTCTAGAAAAATCCCACAGGTTCTCATCTTCTGTGGCAACAAAAGAAAAACCTCTTTTCTAAAGCAACAAATTCTTAGACCCAAATTTGGAAGTCACGATACCTTTAGAACATATATGCTGGTTTAGCTTAGCAGCCTATACAATGAAATGTCTCTCTGTACTTCCTTCCTTCACAGTCAAAAAATTTAAAGAAAACACAACAGTATATATAATTCAGACTCTCTGTGAATTTTCCATCTTTAGACGGCTTATTATTGTTTTTTACTCCTTTTAATCAATGACTTCTGTTCTGTCTCTTTAACGACTTTATCTTTTTTTAAACCATCTACTTCTTTTTATAACTGTCTATATTTTTTCTTCTCTCTCCCAAGCCTACGTACATTTATTCAACACCATGACCCATTTAGAGGTCTCTTCCATCTGAATTTGTCTTTATTTTATATTTATAATTATTTTCTGAGCAGGACTGCTTCTTAAAATGCTAACTGCATCTTAAAAACCTAAGCTGTGGCAGTGCTAGAGCAAATACAGCCCAGCCT